CCCCCAAAGAACAGGTTTCTAGTTTAAGAAAGTAAAATTAAAAGCAGGCAAAGAGACCACAGCTGCACAGAAGACACCTGGCGTTGGGGTTGAATTGGGGTGAAGAGAGGGAAAACAGCCAAGCTGTCGAGTTCCTCCTATAAAGCAAATGCTGCTGCTGAGGGCAAAAGGCCAAGACCTTCCATCTCCAGCCCTGAAGTTTTTCAGTTCTACTCTACCCAAGTTCCACCATGTCCTAATCACGTGCTGGTTGCCCTCTCTCCCTCCAAGGAAGGGTGGCCTGGTATTACAAGCATTGATACCAGTAATACACACCCTGTTGCAAATGACTGCTGCAATTCCACACTGCTGCACGAGGCAACGTTCTTTGTATGCAGCTTTTAAAACCAGCACAAGCTATTTGTGGCAACTCTTTTATATTTTATTCCTATGATAACATTCAGCACACTGAGCCACTCACTGCACATTTATCCTTTTGGGGTTGGTACTACAGAGTCTGTTACAAGCACTCGGATCCTACACAGACTGGACAAGCCAGAGATTACTCTTGTCAGTATTTGGCTTTTACTAACAGAGTCACCATTACACCTGCACTAGATATTTGGTACTGAATTACACAAAAGAGAGCCCAAACCACAGTGAACTTTGATCTGCTGGAAGGGTCAGCTATGATGGTTTTTATGGCATGTGGATACTGCACAGTTCCCAGGTATCTGGGAACAGTTTCACTGAGAAAGTATCCCTTACCTGACTGAATTCATTTGAACATGCAGTTTTCATGTGGCAGACCTTTTGAACTCCAGTAACAGCAGGGAGTATTTTCATTATTTGCTGTGTTAATTCACCATAAGTCAACAAAGTTTAAATCTGTGAACTCAGCATTCTGGTGTGTGTGCTGCTGCTCAGGCAAACTGTGCTTTCTGTATCAGCTCATAGTTGCTGTAATGTGGACAGAGACTTGAAATGGTGATCAGAGGGATGGAGCAGCTCAGCTCTGAGGAAAGGCTCAGAGAATTGGGATTGTGATTATTCAGCCTGGAGAAGAGAAGCTTTGGGGTGACCTGATTGTGGCCCTGCAGTGCCTGAAGGGAGCCTTCAAGGAACATGGAGAGGGACTATTGAGAAGGGCCTGGAGGGACAGGACAAGGGGGAATGGCTTCACACTGGCAGAGAGTAGGGTTAGATGGGATATTAGGAAGAAATCCTGCCCTGTGAGTGTGGTGAGGCCCTGGCACAGGTTGCCCAGAGAAGTTGTGGCTGCCCCATCCCTGGAAGTGTCCAAGGCCAGGCTGGACAGGTCTTGGAGAAATCTGGGCTACTGGAAGGTGTCCCTGCCCATGACAGGGGGTGGAACTGGAGGAGCTTTAAGGTCCTTTCCAAATCAAACTGTCATATGATTCTATGAAATGTGTCTTTTAAGAATAAATTGATGCACTACTTATCACTTCACCTTCTAAATTAGAATTACTGTTCCTGCAGTGGTGGGGAAAGCCCAGGTTAGGCTGTCAGAGCTGGCTGACAAATGCAATTCCCTTCAAAACAGCAGAGTTTACTGCATGGATTGCACATCCATGGAACAAAACCTCCTATTGAGTCAAAAGCTGAGATATACCACAGAGATGAGCATATATCTAAATGCAGTGTCTGAAGTGTTATTGATTTTCATAGCCAGCCAGAATATGTTCCACAAAATCACTGCCTTTTCACTGGTTTTGACCAGCTCTGTTGACTCCATTTACAAGGGTGTCTTTGCATTTCAAAAAAGTGTTTAGAGGGGATACAAGAAGGAATCCATCAGGAAACAGCATACATTAAAACTGCTGCAATGAAGAAAACTTAATGGCACCAGCAATGCTGAAACTGCCTTTCTGGTTTGTTTGCTGCAGTCTTAAAATATATATTGAAAACTTAAAACTGCCCTTCCCCACCAACTCCGCAGTGAATCTATTTTCTTTTTGTAACTAGACTTGCTTGGATAATTCTTACAAGCATTTTTAACCTTTTTGCTACTGAGGCTTCTGCCCATACCTTAGGTATAGAATTCTCAATTATCCAGAAACTTAAGAATTTCTACCGGTTTGAACTCATCTCATGTGATCTACTTCTTGCTTTTTCAATAGCAGGATACTAATTAGCACTTAACATTTACTTAATACATTCTATTACAGCAAAATGAATTAGGATCTTTATTAACCTGAACTGAGAAATTATGATATTGTCTATTCAATGACTGGGTATATTCACTGCATTTGTATTTTGTTGGTTTTCTTAGGATTCTACTGTATTTTCCTCATGCTGGGATAATGAGTCTACTAAATTGCTATCTGCAATAAATTTCTTGTGAAATGGTTCAGTTTCCTTTTTCCACTCTTTCATTTTCTGCTTTGAATAGAGAACCCTATAGTGAGATAGAGATTGCAAAGAAAAAACAATTCACAGAAGAAAAATCACTAGAGAGTTTGGAAGAGGATAAAACCAAAAAAGGTTCAAGGATTACAAATGCACCAGCTGGTCATTTCAGTTGTATTCACATCAAGTCTTACTCTGAAATATGTGTGACAAGTTTGTTAATAATGTCATTAGCTTTCATATAATTTTTTTGCCTCTCTCCTGGTCCAAGTCTGACTGCTCTGCCCAACTGGAGCCTTTTGTTAGGGGCACATCACCCTTTCCACAATGACCCAATTCTTCCCTGGCAAGACTTTCCCACTCTCTTGTTTACCCAGCAGCCATTTCTTTTCTATTTTGGGAAGAAACCACTACACCTCCTGGCTTCTTTTATTCTCACCCTTCAAAGTAGGACTATTTTCTTGAACCTTTGGCAGTAACTCTTCCTCAGAGTCACAAAACAAATCAATATGAGTTTTACTTTGGCAACTTGAGATTTTTTTACCCCCTAAGTGTAATCTCAATGACTACAAGGTATGGTGCCTAACTCCTTCGGAGGAAGAAATAAGCCTTCTAAAGCATTCTCTTCCACACTTGAGTCATGGCAAGATCAACAAGACAGTCAGTGGTGGCAGAGACTAACTGGTAGAACATCTGTGCAGCTGACAAAGTGCAAAGACCTGATGTCTATTTAAAAGGCTGATATTAAATCAAAGAATGTTCTGAAAAAGACCAAACAAAAGAATAAGCTCCAAGAATTTCTCTTTATTATCCTGTTAACCCACAAGAACCAATTCTTTTACCAAATGCCACAGAATCTATGGATTTACAGCAAACTGCCTTGTTTAGTCCTTATTTCTTTTAAATTAAGTTCCATTCAAGTCAGCTTTGTAGCAGCAACATTGCCTGAACTGCAAAGAGATACACAAAAGTGGCCTTTTATAAAGGTGTTCCCCACACATACATACTGTTTTTTCCTTTTCTTTATTTGAACAGCAAACTATTGAGTCCAGCTGAACTACTGATCACACTGACAGTTCCCTTCATGAGAAAAATGCCCCCAAATGAGTGTTTGAGTCAGTGTTTGGGCTCTCAGACATGTCGTAGCTGAAGAGCAATAGCAGAGTAAAGAACGTCACAAAGAACTGTTTGGTCTTAATGTATTTTGGTGTTTCTTACTGCTGAAAGAAATAAACTGACATGATCCCCCCTCCACAGGGTGAGGATGTCTATGTACTTATCCTTGAAATCATCACCTCACCTTCTCTCTTCTTTATGGAACTGATCTATCCCAAGCTTCATCTATGGAGGTTGGCTATCATCAATCTCCTTTTCCTTCTCAGCTCCAGACATGTTCACACACTGCTAACCTCTCACTTTGAAGTAGAATTCTTAGCTTCCAGAACACAAAGGATCCAAGTATTGTCATCATACCTTTATCAGACAAGTAATGTCTCAAACGTCAACAGCAGAGCTGCATTAATTGATGCTCGAATTTGGCTCTTTTTATCTTTGAGGGTGTTTAAAAAAGTTAAATAAATAAATAAAAAGTTAAATAAAGGTTCATGCTCTAAATTTAGTTGGCTCACAAAAGCAATGACTGCAACTTATTTTGAGTTGCCACCCTTACCTCAGATGGCTCAGCCAGACCCCCCTTTCCACTTTTATTTTAATCCTTTACTTTTTATCCCATACTTGAACTTCTGTGGTTTTGAAGCAGGTGCAGGACATACTCAATGACTGTATTGGCAGCACAGTACAACAGTGGATTCTACCCCCAGGATGGGGCAACCCCAGATGGACGGACAGACTGGGAATGAGAGGCTGGAGAGTAGAGCCAGGAAAGGGCCCTGGGGGTGCTGGTGGTGCCAGTTGTCCCTGAGTCAGCAGTGCCCTGGCAGCCAGGAGGGACATCCCTGTCCTGGGGCATCAGGGAGGGGATTGTCCCGCTCTGCTCTGCCCTGGGGCGGCCTCACCTCAACATTGGGGCAGTTTGGGGGGACACAATGGAGGGAAGGGATTGAGCCGTTGGAGAGTGTCCAAAGGAGGGACAGGGAGATGGTGAAGGACCTGGAGGGGCCATAAGAGGAGCAGCTGAGGGCACTTGGCTTGTTCAGCTGGAGGAGAGGGGACTGAGGGGAAAGCTCAGCAGGGGCTGCACCTTCCTCATAAGGGGCAGCTCCATCTCTGCTCTGTGAGCAGGGACAGACCCAGGGAATGGCTGGAGCTGTGTCAGGGCAGGATCAGGTTGGATCTCAGGAAAAGGTTCTTCCCCCAGAGGCTGGTTGGGCACTGCCCAGGCTCCCCAGGGCAGTGGGCACAGCCCCAAGGCTGCCAGAGCTCCAGGAGGGTTTGGACAACGCTCTGAGGGACAGGGTGGGATTGTTGGGGTGTCTGTGCAGGGCCTGGAGTTGGACTGGATGGACCTGTGGGTCCCTTCCAGCTCAGGATGTTCCATAATTCTATGAACAAAACCTCAGAACTCCAACACAGATGCTTTTCCTCAGAATGATTTGTATTGTGTGGGAAGGTTAAACAACTAGTCAAACAGCACTTGTGCAATGTTTTCTTTTAACTTGTTTCTCATGTACTTTACTTTTCTTTTTGCCATCAGAAAAGCTCAAAAAGTTTAGCAAACATACACCAGTTACAAAATTAGGCATAAATCTTGGAGCCGCTGGACCCTCAATAGTACTCTGAAGTACTTTGTTCCTTTGTCTGCTTAAGTGAGACATATGTCACCATCAATATTGCTATCCCTAAAAATATACTGCTCCATTACCTCCCTGATGAAGGAAGAAGAAAACACATGCCTTTCCTTCAGCAACAGGTGAGTTTCTAAGTTGTTTTAGAATGCTGTTTCTTTACTTGTAGAGATAATTCACTATTTTTTCCCTGTAGTTAATGACAGCTCTTTAGATGTCATTAAATATATTCACAAAGAACTGTTGTTGTACAGAACAAGTTATCCCAACAGTATGAATTCAACTGCTGGTTTTGGTTTTCCTTCCAGAAAGTTCAGCTCATAAAAAGTGTTAAGCCTAAAGTGTTAGACTTAAATACAAAATAATCTGTAATAAAAAGGCAGAAAATACTGATCCCTAGTCAACTTTCTCACCCAAATACCTTTTTGTAAAGATAGTGATCTATAACAACTTGTTTGGTGATGATTAGTTTAGTAAAAATGCCTACTCTCTCAGCTAATAAATGCTGTTTTCAACAGTTTTACTCTTAAGAAACAACACACAAAATCTAGTGAAATAACCAGTATCAGGATATGTTGCTTCACTAGTAGAATTTTTGATATGGAAGGGCCAGGCAATGAATCTCCATATTTTTTCACACCAAGATTAAACTGAACACAAGAAAATCTCCGAATCTATGGAGATTCAGATGTATTGTTTGTAAACGTACATAACAAAATCCATTTAATGAAGTATCTATGAATTTTCCTAATATTAACCAGTTTTACCATCCTTAACTATTACTTTTGGAGGATAAAAACCAGCAGTGAAAAAATAAGAAATTGGATAAAACCCAACTAAGAGCAATTTTGAGAACTCCAGGATCTCAGCCATGGAAAGGCTGATCATGGAAGCACTGCAGTGTGATTTTGGGAAAAGATACCTAAGCTTGACCTACATTACCCTTTAAGCTTCTAGACCTTTTCGTCACCCTTATATGATTTATGATGCATAAGTAATTTTAAGCTTTACAGCTCAAACTGTGCCTGCTCTTCCCTCTTGAGCCCCAGTACGTAGAGGCAGATGGAATTTCTGTCATATAAACCCTTCTATAAACTTATATAGTCCATTTATTGTCAGGGAGTTAAGCAGTGTCAGGGTAGGGAGGCAGCACAATGAAGATTTGAGAGACTGAGGGCAATATTAAAGTATATTTGATGCAGAGACATTCAAGCAACTTCTTTCTTCCCTGCCTTCCCTATCTGACTCCAGGGAAAAAGGATGTTGTTAAAGAACAGTTATGAGAATACACTAAATCCACCCTTATATGCAACTATTGATATGTACACTGATTGATTTCTGCTTATTCTGCCTAACAAAGTCATTCACTGAGCTGCTCTGATTTAAAATATTGCATTAATAAATAAGGTTGAGACACTAAGTTTCAGTAGAATTGAATTATTAGTAAAATAACTAAAGTTTGCCTTGTTTTCTTAAAGGAAGAGCAGAATTGCATTGGATATTTGATTGCATTTTTAGTAGGAAGGTGATTTTCCTCCTCCTTAAGAATATAATTCAAATTCTGTGCAGTCTGAGTCAGCATTCTAGATCATGAAGAGAATTCAACACATCAGTCCATGTTTCTTATTCCATATTACTTTTTACTGGCTTGATGTAAAGTGTTTTGCTAGATTTTTTTTCCCCCAAGACACATCATCATTTGGTTCTTTGCCTTGTGTTTGCTTGTCTTTTTGCTGAACTAAAGAATCAATACCAGTATAAGCCAATTTTTAATTAAAGAAGCTGGGTCTATACAGAGATTTTCCTGGATTTAATATTTATATACATACATCAAAAAAAAAAAGTAATTATCCACTATAAGCCATATTCAAAGATTTCTGAAGTAAATGGGAAGACTTTTGATTTTCCTGAACTTTTGAATTATGTCCTAGAAGCAAACATCACCAGAGATCTTACTCAGTCAAGTGGAAAAAAAAGAGATCAATGCTCTTCTTTTCTCCCTTGGTTGGTCCATCCCTGACTGCAACAGCAAGAAAATCAAATGCTAAAGAAACAGGTACTCTGATTTATCCAATGAGGGCCATGGAAAATTATGTGTTCAAAATTTCAGATTAAGAGTTAGTTAAGACTTAAGATGTAGAAAAACATATGGTTTTACAACAGATTTTTTTTTGAAGAGTCTCAAAGAGACTGAAAATGTTACAATTTAAGATGTGGTCTGTGACAGAAGGCAGAAGACAGAGAGGAGAGAAAGTGAAACAAGATCAACAAATCCAGTTTAAAAATACGTCTTTCTCAAATATCCTTTGCTCTCATCTTTTAATAAACACTGAATTAATTGGCTCAGGATTTGGGGTGCAATAAGATGGAATTCTGTATGAGTATGTCAGACTTGCTGAACTGTGAATGGTATTTTAAGGGGTGTCTCTGCTTGAAGAATAATTGCACTTTCAAATTACAGACCACCCACTCCTTCTGTGGTATGAAACAGAGAAACAGAGAGACAAATGTTCATGCAGAATATTAACAATGAGCTGGGTAATCAGACTAAGGAAGATATAGCAGAACTTAAAAGATTTTCCTTTTTTTATAACTTCTGGAGTTCTAGTCTAGAACCATCAACGTGCCTCAACATATTCAAAACATTTTTCATTCTTATGTTGGGACAAAAAATCCTTTGGTGACATCCCAATACCTGAAGGGGCCGACAAGGAAGATGGAAAGAGACCATTGGCAAGGAACTGGAGTGACAGGACAAGGGGAATGGCTTCACACTGACACAGAAGGGTTGGGTGGGATATTGGGAAGGAATTCTTGGCTGAGAGGGTGGTGAGGCCCTGGCACAGGTTGCCCAGAGAAGCTGTAGCTGCCCCATCCCTGGAAGTGTCCAAGGCCAGGTTGGACAGGGCTTGGAGCAACCTGGGCTAGTGGAAGGTGTCCCTGCTCATGGCAGTGGGTGGCACTGGATGATCATTAAGGTCCCTTCCAACCTGAGCCAGTCTGTGATTTGATGAAATGTGTCAAGAAATAAAGGATGCTGCAGAAAAAAGCTCTGACAATCTCCTTTGCCTCTTGCAGTGTCTCCTGTCACACTGGAGCTCGATCCTGACCTCAGGCCTGCTCTGTGCCACTGGGGAGTTAAACCCACCAGCCCTGGTCTTACTCTCAGGCTGTGGAGAGCAACACATTGAGGACAAACACTTAAAATTCCACCTCTACACAAAAGGTTGAAGGTCAGAATTTGAGCTGTGCCCGCAGATTTGGTGCCTACAAGGGTTAAGACAAATGATTCTTCACCATTGCAAGTTTGGCTGTGTCATGTTCCTGCAGAGAAACCCAATGGCACGACACAGCTGCAAATTCTGCAAAGGTGCTCAAAGCAGGCTCTACATGCAGAACTTAAAACTGTCTTTTTATCAGATTTCCTCCTTCAGATATACTGTGCAATGGGAGGGAAGCAGTTTTGTGTCAATTTACACAGGATTCAATAAAAGCAAATTAAGAATTGTTTCCTATTAAAATCGACACAAGTTTTCTATTATCATGAGTATTATTAACTGGAGATATATATGCCAGATCTTCTTTTAATTACAGACATATAACTTACACAAAGAGAAGTCATATCTTCCAAGTAATTACAGGCAGCTCTAAAGCATATTATTGTATTATTAAATTAAAAAATCCGCTAGTCAAAAGATCAGAAATTAAATATGGAATCATCCAGCACTCAAAGAAATAGTGGGCATAGACAGACATGAAATAAGCTAAATTACTCAGATTTAAAACAGTCTTCACACAGAAAAGAATTATATGCTACAGCAGCAGTTTGCTGCAGTTTTCTAAATCAGATGTAGCTACCAGCAAACTACTCAGCTCTCATTAAAGAGTACCAAGAAGCAAACCCAGTTTATCCCAAAGAACAGCAAACAACATTTCCCCCCCAGTGAAATCATTTCCAGAGAGATGCCCCATGCTTAGCAAGGTGAGGAAAATGGACAACAGCATCATACAAGAAGAGCCTCGTGGATGAAGCAACATTGTCTGACTTCAGTTCTTCAGAACTTGTACAAGCATATGTGATTTAATCCCTCCTTTTCAAGCTGAGAACTCAGAATCCCTTCTACTGTCCAATGGTAGCAAGACAAAGTTGTAGAAAGAGGCACAGGTCCTACTCCAGGTGGGTTAAACAGCCCTCTCAAGCCCTCGTTAGTAAGATACCAACAACCCAAGCCTGAATATTTTATCTACAGCTTTGTTCAGCCCTCTGAAGAGACAAATCTGGCTGTGCAGTGACCACAGAGGACACAGACTCCCTGAAGTCAGGCTTCTTCCTTCACCTTGGCCTAAACCGCCTGCAAATTGTGCCATCCCATCACAAACCAGGCCAGCTTTCATTCTACTCCCTAAGTCTGAGAGGCTCGCCCTGAATTAATGTTGAGCCTTAATAAGATGGAAAATAGTACAGATTAGAAAAAATCATAATGGATAAAACTGCATTCTGAGGTTGAGCTGGATATAGACTTTAAGTGAGCTGATACATATTTTACTGTAGATCTAGAGCAGGATATCCGGGAAGCATTTCAAAGGGAATTCCAAAAGCCTTTTCTATATGACCCTGGAGAGAGGCAAACAATTCAGGTAAAACATGTGCATTTACTAGATACATATTTAAAGTGTACATCTATTTTTATATCAATGTTTAAAGTTCAAAATATTGAAATGTTTTATCCTTTTTTCCCCCCACTGGTAGTTTCCAGCAGTGAACAGATCCACAAATGCCATAACATTGCAAGAATTATTCTTTTAATCAGATTTCCCTTCTAGTTTTGTAAGCTGAACAGGTTTAGCAATTTGTGATAAGTTCTGAACTTCTGCATGTTTATCTAAGCTGAACTCAAAGCAATCCTCTTGAAATCTGCCCTGCTACAAATGTGAAGTGCTGAAGATCTGCCTTGAGGTTCTGCAGCTTGCATGGAAGCCTCGACTTTGTATTTTTATAAGTGACTTTCCCTGGTGTGTTTTCTTGTGATGCTGTAGTTATGGCCTTCTTCTTAGATTCATTTTCCTCATAATGTGGATAGAACTCCTATAAAACAGGATGTCTTTCTCTCCCTACATGTCAAAGCACACATGATGCCTTTTTGTTGCCTTTTTCCCCCCCCAGTTATCTTTACACAATGGAGCCACAACTCCAAACTGAAATGCCTGAGAGGTTATTTAGTCTTAAACTACGTGAGAACCTTTGCAATTTTAAGCAAGTATCAACTCCATTCGTGTCAAGGTTAAAAATAAATTTTACTAGTAACCTTAGCAAGTACTCCCCAAATATAGAGGCTGATAAATTTTATAAGGCATGAGCACCCTAGAAAGCTCTTGGAATGTCCATCCCCCCTCACAATGACCAGCTCTCTTTGGACACACATCGGTAGGAAAAGTCACCACAAGTTTTAGTTGGATGACATAAGACAAAGGGTGTTCTGGTATCAAACATTTGCTGCATAAAACCTGTTGTGGTTTTTTTTTTTTCTGGCTAATTCAAAGTGTCATTAGAACAGATTACAGAGCAAAGGAAAGAGAAAGAGTGAGAGAGAGGAGGTAAATTAATTCCTCCATACCAGAAAGCAAGCTTTCAGTCAGCTTTTCCCTGGATGTTTGTATCTGCAAGCCTACCGAGGATTCCAGCAGAAGAAAGTCTATTAATTTTCCATGTACTTGTTGACGAAAAAGCTATCAGGATTATGGGTTGAATATTTCTAGAGTAGGGAAAGTAGGGGATGCAATTAATCTCTGTGAACTAAAATATACCTCTTTTCATTAATCTTTTATTGTAAATGAGCAAAGTAATTGAACCAGTACCACACTGTCAGAATAAATGCAATGCCAGTGGGATATGCATGAGAGAGCACATACTGATTGAGTATTAAATATCTAACGGCAATAATTTATGGTTCATTACCTCTTTTTGGAGTTCCTTAGTTGCAGAGTGCTTGAATTTTAAGCAGACAGACTTTCAGCAGAAACTGCTTTCAAAAGCTGAACATACCAAATGCCCAAAATCCTCGTCAATCTACTTAAAATTAAGAGTTTTGTACTTAGTTGAGCCAAACTCTGCACTGCCAGAAACATGCAGGCTATTTGCAGCTTGGATTAATGCAATTAAAGGTGTGGTCATGAGGATCAAGGATCACGTGCAAAATGAAATTCAGAGCTATGAACAGAGCATGGTACATCAGCAGATCCCACGTAATAATTTTCAAATACCTTGTTACATGTGTTCATATGGGGAGAATTCACATAGGAGACACAGCTTCATGCTGTCACTGGGAACAGACCCCAGGGAATGGCTGGAGCTGTGTCAGGGCAGGCTCAGGTTGGATCTCAGCAAAAGGTTCTTCCCCCAGAGGCTGGTTGGGCACTGCCCAGGCTCCCCAGGGCAGTGGGCACAGCCCCAAGGCTGCCAGAGCTCCAGGAGGGTTTGGACAACACTGAGGGACAGGGTGGGATCACTGGGGTGTCTGTGCAGGGCCAGGAGTTGGACTGGATGATCCTTGTGGGTCCCTTCCAGCTCAGGATATTCTATGACTTCGAAAAGGCTAATTCCTAGATAAGGGAGCAAAGCATGGCCACTTAGAAGACTGTTACACAGGATTGCTCAGTTATCAAGTAATTACCCCACCTGTTCAAGGGGGAAAAAAAAAAATCAGACATGGACTTGTATAATTTTATGTATAAACAATGTTATGTCTTTTTTCTGACTTGAGCATCCCTGACAGCATCAGTCACAGTGAATTGTGCCAGTGGTAAGAGTTAGTAATAGCCTGGCCTCTGTCCTTGGCGCCCCTTTCATAGACTCTGAGCAGAATCACTTGCAGGGGAAAGATGTCACCTTTGCTAAATTGACACACCACGACCTTCTTCCCTAACAGGCCTCCTGACAGATTCCAGCTGTCCTGCTTTGACGGAAGCTTTCAAGGATCAAAGAAAAGATCAAACTGGAACTGGAAATAAACGTCTCAGTGTTTTTATACTCCCTTCATCTTGATTTCATAGGGGTGTAACTGATGAAATCTGAGGCAAACCAGACAGGAGTCAGCCCAAACACACGGATTTTAATCCTCTTTCTGAATTTTACTTTCTGTTGCCTACTGGAACTGGTCCTGGAATGCAGGCAGGGCTCCTGAGTCTATCTGTTCCTGGTGAATTCTGCTCATCTGTTGAAAATTAAACTGTCCTATTCAGACACTGCTCACTTGGCAACAGACTGCTCTGTTTACTGTTTATTGATTTTTGTTAACTGGGACTACAGAGAAGAAGCATTTCAGTTTCAAAGTCGTCCCAGAGGACACTGGCAGGTTACAATCACTTATACTGTAAAAAAGCTTCATGTTAATTGACTCTATATTTACATATTATGAATGCATATTTTAATCTGTTTTACATGAATAAGTCCTCCACAATGAAGATTTCATTTCCTTTTTTAAAACAACATAACTACTTGCCTTATTTGAAGAGGCAAATCTCTTCTAAATTGTTTTGACCTTTCCTTGTGTCCTTTCTTAAAGTCGAAGTTGTAGCTGCCTTCTCAGTTCAGGAATTTTTTATCTTAAAGCAAAGGGATGAACTGAACTTCAAACTGAAACCATTTCATTGTGCTCTTTCTAGTTTGGCAAGTCACCCTGTCTGTCTGTATTTGAAACAGCCAAATTCTTGACTAGCTCAACTAAACTATTTTTAGCCACAATAGACAAAAAGCTGAGAATAGACCAACTTCAGCAATACACTGGAAAAAGGACTCTGGTCAAACCCAGAAAGATATGGAGATATCCCAGACTAATAAAATAGGAAGGTCAGGACATTAATCTAGGATGGAACAGAACCAACCAAACATGGCACTCCTACTGCTGCTTAATATTTTGTCCTCAACCTTGTCAAAGTTTGTTCTCCTTCTGTACAAATCTTTTGTTTGGAGCCTCCAAAGACAACCTGCATTAAGATGAAACCCTTTCTTACCCACCTCTAATTTCATCACCATTAGATCAGGTCTCAATCGAGACTTCAATAAAATATTACCCACTTATCCAGCACAGTCTCTGGCCTCAAAGCTTACTTTTAGGCACAGAAAGTGCCTAAGTAAGTAGTCATCATCTCTACTTCATCCCCCAAATGTTTTTCTATGCTCTCCTATTTTCCAAGACCACAGTAAACATTGAAAGCCAGCTCTGGATAGGTTCTGAACACAGAGCCAGGCAAAGCTTTCCCCACAAAGTAGTTGCCTCCCTTGGCACAGTATCCATGCATTTTCATACATTATTAGCTCACACAGGACTCTGCTGCTGCCAAAGATAAATGCCTCCATCCTAAGGCCTCAGGTGAAGCCCTAATAAGGAGGCACCTTAAACATTTCTATTTGTCAGGCACCACATTTAAAGCGCTGCAATAAAACAATTAAGCATATTCACAGATGTGAACAGTGCAGCCCTGAGTGTTATTATTCCATTTCTCCATTCTCAAATCACTCTAATATTGCTCTAGTAAATGTGTGCTCTGGGGGCTTATCTGTTACTGTTCTGTATCTTCCCAGCACCTTTGTAGCAATGTTCTTTTGTGTTTGGAATTACACCCTGCAGAAATTACTTCCTGCCACCGAGACAGACCAATTCATTTTATGACTACAAATCTATATTAATGTCTTTTCTACTGTATTTAACGATGCAAGTCCTTCCACTTGTTACTTTTAAGCACATCAAGGCCTGGATTTCTGGAGACAGCAGTGCATGCAAAGATCATAGTGGGGTTTATTGCCATTAGCAACTACCTGATGTTCCCACGATCAATACAGTGAAAACATGTGTGTGTTACATTACAAAGTTAAATATAGATAAACAAACAAAAATCAGAGCCAAGCAACTGCAGTAGAACTGTTACAAAGAAATAGTTCCCATTTATATTTTTACTAAAAGCCAATCTAGCATCATAGCAGCAGAACAGAAGATAGCAGCAGAGTGCATATGGAATTTAATTTTGAATGATATTGAAAGGTCAGCACAGAATTGCTCAGCTCATATTTTTGTGAAGATAACATGTGTGAACTAGTTATTTCCTCCTTTTAACATATAATGACCTTGTCCTTTGATTTAATGAGAAAATTATACATGCTGCACTCAGATTTAACAAACTCTCCAGAATTAAAGATAAACCAAAGGAAGGGAAAAAAATAAAAGAGGAATGAGATTGAGGCCTCACACTTGCAACCCAACCATCTGGCAGAATAAAGCCCAGAGATACCAACACAATGACCTGTGGAGCCTGTGGTGTGACATGCTGGAGCAGAGAGGGGGAAAAGCTGTGCAATAGCTCATCCTACCTCAGGTGCACTGACCTTATTAATGTGATATAATGTGAACAATGCACAGAGTTAAAGTGCCAAGTCACATATGTGCTGCTGGTAGCAAGGAATGGGAAAAGACAACAGTGCCTGAAACACTGAACTGTTATTATAACTTGAGAAGACTTCTATAATCTTAATTATATGCAGGTTGCTTAACCTGTGTTAAGGCCTTATGTCTCAATTCTAAAGATTCCAGTAGTATCTCATGTCACAGAGGAACATTCATTTGTTCATTAAAAAATCTGATTTAAATTTTCAATCCATTTTAGCATTTTAATTGTTCTTCTCAACACCTATAAAAATATTGAGACCTGACACCATTAAAGAATCTCTGCTAACGTACAGAAGTGGAAGAGTGAACTCCTAATTCTCTTTCTAGCTCTGCTACAGCCACTGCACACCCCCTGACTATGTTTCTTTTGTTCTCTACCCTTTAGGCCTCTTCAAATTGCCATCATTCAAAAGATTTGAAATTTGTGTGGCTATAACATCCCTAGGACGTGTAAGACAAATAGCACAACACTGCAATTATCTGTGCCTGCTTCCCACTGCTTCCCACTGGCAGCTGAAGAAATCCAGCTGGAGGTGCAGAAGTTCAAATAGATGGATAATTGCTTGAGTATTACTTTTCTTGCTTACTTTTCTTGCTGAACCTGTGCAGGTGATGTTCTGGCATCGTTCACAAACCCTGACCTGTTTGACAGGCAGAGGGTGACCGTTCTCTGGCTCGGGCCACAGACACATAAAGATGCAGCTTTAAAAGAGAGATTTGTCCTTCCCTCCCAGTTCATTTCTTTGATTTTGTGCAGGTTTTTAGTTTCACAAGCACACTGAGTGGAGAGACAAATGAGATCAGAGAGAGATTTCTGCAGATGAACAGTTCCACAGGGATCACCTGAGGGAATCCTTTAGAGGCCCTAATGGCAGATACGGTTTTGAACAATGAATCTTTAGAATTGTTTAATGAATATTAGATTATATTAAATATAGAGGTTACATCTGAAGCCTGACTAAAGCAACTGGATATTGAAATTTATTTTGCTTTGGAAAGAAATGAAAACAAGAACAAACTGAAGACTAGTGAATTTATGTTGGTTCTCATGATATTCCCCCCTTTGCTCACTTCAGAGCAAGTTACTCAGGAATATAAAAACCTGCCCAAGACAAGTGCTGGTTCCAATGACATGGAAAAAAATAACAGAGGAGACAAAAAGCCCTGCTCATCCTCTTCACAGGTATCAGCCTTATGCAAGCCTGTCTCACCTGAGTGAGGGATGAGCAAGGCCCAAAGCTCTGTACTATGGTTTGAGGGGTCCACAGACAAGTTCCTTGCTTATGATCTATCTTCCAAACAACCACAGCGTGGCACTGTGACATTCCAGCTGCAAACTGCATTTATTTCCCTCGAGCCAGGTGACAGCTCGTGACAAAACCCACAGAAAAGCACACGTGGTGGATGACAGGTCCTCTGAAACAACTGCTTTGTTCTCCAGCTCTGCTCCCATCAGTCTCCATCACTTACAACCATGGCCAAGGCCAGGCTCCCATTCCACACTCTCCTGGAGTCCCATTCTGCTGTGAAAGCAAGGGTGCAATCCTGAGTGCTGAGTTACTGCCAGGAGCTGCTGTGCTTTGGGACTGTGGAAAGGGAATAAAGCAGGCTGCTTTTCCTTAGTTCTGAGAAAAGCACCATCCTACTGCTAACGTTTGATACTCGGGGAAACGCTTCTGACAAACCAATATTTTCTACTGGAAAAAAAAAACAAAATTATCAAAGAGCTCAACATCCACATGGACACCAAAGAGTCCTGTCCTGCTCCACAGAGTATTACTATACTATTGTAAAACATTTTATAAGGGGGCCTCGAATTCTAAAGCAAATTTGTACTTGTAGATCATGGGGTGAAACAAAACAATCACTCAGCATTCTCTAAACAATTTAAAATAAATATTACGGCCAGCAAGAAGCTATTTATTATAGAAAGTGTTACATAGGTTTTGTTGACTGGACTCCAACCAAGACCTTCTAAAATGGGGGGGTTTTGTTGGTTTGGGGCTTTTTTTTCCCCCATTTTAAAATAATATAAGCTCGTGAAAGGCTGCAGCCCTTCAGTTCCTATCTCTAAAGGTGGCCTGAATTGTCACAAAGCTGTTCTAGGGCCTGTCACAGCACCACTTCATGTATCTCATGGCTCTCAATTGAAATACTGATCAAGTCTGGCCCTACTGAATTTTTACAATTAAAGTTTCAAGGTGACATGCTATGGCATAACATTAGGCATAGATTTCATTTGTCCTTCATTAATAATCAACCTTACAGTCAAATATCCATTAACATGAACTGCATAATAAAATCAACAACAATTTCAAATGAATTCCCATATGAACAAAACATCTCAAATGCTTAATATTTCACACTCCTCTTTCACCAGATACAGTTCAGTAGCAGTCTAGGTCTTTGAAATCTTCATAATGCTTTTTATCTTTTGAAATGAAACATTTCCCTTAGACTTTCATATCACCCTTATTACTTTACATCAGTGCCAATTCAATTCCCTTTCTGGATTACATCTTTTCTCTCATATCTCCTTTACTATTTAACAAACAAATTCTTTTCTCTGGATCTTCTCTGGGTATTTACTAACAAAAAAAGACGCTGTTCTAAATGAAATTAGCAGAATCAGATCCTAAGGCAGCCCTCCTCTGCTGCACAGGGTGACATGTCCAATAAGTAAAAATTCAGAGATAGAAATGCATCAAACAAGCAAAATTAACAGTTGGCTTTCTATATATAACTTAACTTGGCAATGTAGGCCCACTGGTGTACTGAATTATTATGAAAATAATCCTTCAACAA